AAGGCCTGCTATAAAGCCCACATAGGGTCCAAACCTGTACCGGACACTGATCTAAGGCCTGCTATAAAGCCCACATAGGGTCCAAACCTGTACCGGACACTGATCTAAGGCCTGCTATAAAGCCCACATAGGGTCCAAACCTGCTGTTTTTTCTGTTATTACTATTACTATCCCTACAAATAGATGCCTAAAAAAAATAAGCTTCACAAAAAAAAAAACCCCACATCTCAAAAACACCGCTGTGTCTGCATGTCACAAAAAGTAGCAGCAACTTGATGTTGGGTACTTGAGAGGCTCCATACTCATCAGAGTCAATGAGCACCCTGACCCTTTATGTGTGTGTGTGTGTGTGTGTGTGTGTGTGCCCACGCGCGCGTGCGGGTCAGGGGCGTGTAGCCTTGTACAGACGCACCTTGAGTGACTGGGCAGTGTCGGGGTCCGTGTCGTGGTACAGGATGACGTTGTTGGCCATGTCGAAGCTCTCCCGTACACCCAGGTGGTAGAAGAGAGAGGGCTGTCGGAATACGTCACTCATGTCCACCACGGCGATGTCTGGGGTGAGTGGGGGGAGGGGTACCATGAGGCAGACACACACACAAACTCCAGACCCACGTGCACAGATTCTCCTTCCACAAATCACCTGCTTGGCTCTCCATGCAGCGCAGTACCTGACCGAGACCCGTCTGTTTTCACGTGTCCGTTAAAATGAAGCGCCGCTTATTAACAGACCCACCGCGCATAAACGCCAGTGAGGCTCAAATCGCTGGTCGCCGCTGCGTATAAATAGAGGCGCTTTTGGACAAGCGGCGTGTAGGTTTACAGACGCTGACAATCCAGTCGGAAGCAGCTGCACCAGGCGCAGAACGGGCGATAAACACACGGCCAAAGTCATTAGCGGCCGGCTTGTCAGTGTTCATATTACCATGGCAAATGTCCATGGCAGAGAGAGCATCGCAGGTCCGCAGGATACCGTATTAAGATCAAAGTGAATTCCATATAGCCACATTCCTGCTTTCCATTCGTAAGGGGTACTGTAATGTATGATTTTAAGTGTTTACACTATACTTTAAATGCTTGTACTTAATATAGGTCAACTATAGGCTGTCTTAAAATTAACGTTTATTTTGCGTTATAAATTAATAGCTCCAATATCAGCAACTGATCATCTACCATTCACTGATGCGTTGTGAAACCTTTGGTCCAGCTGCAGTCAAAATGTCCTTTGTTTTGAAAAAACACAGGAAAATTGGCAAAATTACCAGACCTGTATTCATAGACTAGAGAAGTGAAGCATAATCCGTTGTTCTTTATTGGAAATACTAGGCCTATGTGATCATGTTCGTGCAGTAAGTTTAATTGTAAATTACTTAAAACGTGTAAGAAAAATGTATGTTCATAAGTAAAACAGCTGTCAAACACGTATAGAAGAATACCAGAGCCTCCTTCCGTAAGCTGACGAATATAAAGTTACATTCAGGCACATTGAAACATCACACATATTAATTATGTACATTTCCGAAGTATAAATGAACTGTAAATATTTGTAAAATGGGACGGGGGCGCTGGACGTGCCGCATTTGACCACGTACTGTGACGTAGGGAACATGAGCTTAATTGCTCTGTTAATAAAGAAGTTTGACTGCAATTAGCTGATAAAATGTATAAAAGTTATGAAACATTTCAGGGGACAGACTTTCGCCCGGGGCTGCCATTTCCCAAGCATATTTCAGAGCCAGCTATCACACTCACCCGCGTCGTAGAAAGTGTCCAGGACCGTGGTCTCGCCGAAATCCAGCCGGCCGAAGGTCACCGTGGTGAGGATGGCGCTCTCGGCGTCGCAGGCACGCTGCAGGCATTGCAGGGCGCCCGACTCGGGGCTGTTGGCTGCCACAGCTTTCAGCCCATCGTTGAGAACATAGACAGCCCGTAGCGAGCGCTGTTTGGGCAGCTGGCTGGGGCTGGTAACATCCGCCCTCTCCGTGCTGGCAGCCATCAGTATACCGGGTGCATGATCGCCCCCGGGGTCTGCTGCTGGCTGGCAGGGAGAGATCTCCATGGTAAGCCGCACCTCTAGTGAGCTCTACCTTTCCCGACCGTCTGTCTGGGTGATAAGCGCCGCTGGTCCACCGGAAAGGGCTCACTGGGTCTAAGGTGGGAGCACCTGCCGCCGGGGGAGGCGCGTCTCCGCGCCGCCTCGCATCTCCTGCTTAATCATCTCGGTGCGCATCTCAATTATTCTCGGGTCAGGTAGCTTATCTTAACTGCTCGGTCCAGTTTTAACTAGTTTGCGCTCCCGGGGAAAAAAACTTAAAGGTCCAGGATCGTTATGTAATTACGCAAAAAAAAAAAAAAAACAAACAAGTATGAAATATCTCCCACAATACCCTAGAAAAGTCAACACCGCTCACCTGGCGAGGTAATGTCAGCGCAGTGTCGCTTTTCCGGGCTCCTTTGTCCCAGGTTCCTTAATTACTGCGCCCCACTCACTCTTCCAAATGCAAATTCCCAAGTTTAATAGACTGCTGCGGAAAGCCACGCCGGTCCAGCTCACCAGCTTATGCGACCCAGATAATCGGCAGAAAGGGTCCCCGTGTCGCGTCTTGGGCAGCGGTGACCTGTGCGGCGAAAGCGGAAGATGCGTAGCCGCTTTGGCGGAGCCTCACTGCCATGTGGGCGCTGCCGGCGCTCCTGCGCGCGGAGGGGGACATACGGCGTAAGTAAGCATTGTTCATATTGTGCTCATGGTAACACTGATTTATGCATTACGCTACTCATATGAATGTTGGTTTTTGTAAATCTTGCTCAGCAGTTTCTGGTTTAAAAGCCTGTGTTCAAAGTAAGTCTGTTGAACTCACTGTTTTCCCCTCCGAGCTTTGGCAGGTTGCGCTGAAACACTATCAGCACGGCGCGCTAAATATAAAAATGCACAGCCGATGTGCCGAGCCAGAGGCTGCCTGCCTGGCCGCTGAGCCGCCGGACGCTCCCGTGGATCCCAAGCCCTGGAGACGAGTGTCTGCGCGCTCCCCACGCCTGCTGTTCCTGCTTAAGATGTTGGGAATGTTATGAGATTCCTCTCCGGTGGCTGTCGGGACTTGCCCGGCAGAGTTCATGTGTATTTCGCTGCCTAATTTTTCATCTTGCATATGAAGTTTTTTTTTTTTTTTTTGCAGGCATGGATTTCTCATTGCTCCGCGACGTCAGGGACGGTGATTTATATCGATATTTTCTGAAATGTATTTTAAAAAGGGAAGTCAGCTTTAGTTTATCTCGTGGGAACAAAATGTAGAACTCTGGCTCAGCCCTCTACATTTTAATTAATATTTTTTCAAAACAAAACAATCTTGATATCTTTAACAGATTACTTCGGCAGCAAAAAAATGAATTTTCCCAGCCAATATTTCAGATTGGTGAATGTTTTTGTTTGTGTCATATCAGCACTTATGTTAAGACAGTGTCATACACCGATAAGGGGAAACCGCTGGGTTTTGGCTGCGTTCCTGTATTTCTGTTTAGCAAGCCTGTACATGTGGCCGACAGAAATATGCATGTAAAAACCCCAGTCAGAAAGGTTAGTCATTCCCATGTACGGGTAAGTTCAATAGCCCCAAAACAACGGCACACAAAGGCATATGCCACTGAATCATTTAAACAATATTAACATTGTCATTGTCGAACAGAAATGTCGAGGGCCATTAAAACATGTCCAGCGGTGGACGTGGTGAAAATGACGGGTTTCCATTGGGACTGAGCTATTAACACAAGACTGGAGTGTCTACAGCACCTCCCTGGGAGTGGATTTTAAAAGCAAATAAACCTGGCTACCAAATTTAGTATATGAAACGAAGCAGATCGCGATTAGGAAAATCAACAGAGCCAGCGTCAGCACTTCCAGTGCGCCTGTTGATGTTACTATATAAAACTACGTTTTATTTCTCTTCTTTACTGCTCCAAACCCCGGTGAAACACAGACGTACTCTAATGGGGACGGAGGTGTATAGGGCTGAGGTCCCAGTGTCCCCGCGCCAGTGCCAGTGACGTCCGGAGGTGCTGCCCCTGCTGCTCCCGGTTCTCCAGGCACCCTCTGCGGTCCATGCGATGCCTACGCCTTTTCCCGGAAGCTAACTGCCAGGAAAAGTGTGCCGCGTGATCGGCGATGCCAGCTGTGCCCGTGCCCTTCGAGCGCCCTCTGGAATCGCGCCGGGTACTTGTGGCGCTCTAGATAAATGACATCACCCTGTCATCTCCACAGTGACCGGGGCATGTGGCTGGTCATGCTAGACGAGCCTGTGTCTCTGTGGGCACCCTCACCCACAACAAACACAGTAAAGGGCAATTGCCTGTTCCTGATAGGGCCAGGATGCTGGGCTGTTAAGTTGCTGTGTGTTTGCTGGCTCAGGTGAAGGGGTGCCCCTCCAGCCATCTTGAAGACAGGGTCAGCTGTGGGTACAGGGGCTCTTCATGCTGATTTGTTCACCCCACTCTGAATCCTGGCAGAGTATATAAACTGGAGTGTTCAAATGTGTGTCTTTAACCCCCTAGTCCCATACAGTCTCCACCTGTGCTGGGTCCATTGTTTTTTTCCCCTGCATCTTCCATGTTTATTTTCTGCACTGTTGACCTTCTCCCTGTCCTGTCCTGTCCTCGCAAATCCCATCCCCCAATAATCCTACCATTCTTGCTCAATCCCAGGCTGCTGTGGATCGTCCAGATGAGAATGACTGCCACTCTTTGAAGCGCACGCTTTGATGTTCTCTGCATGTGTGTGTGCTTCAGCAGGGATGTGCACAGGCCTGGCCCTGTGAGCTAATGCAGGGTAAACTCCCAATCATAACACGCAGGCTAACTCGCCGCATGTGGCTGCATGTCTGCTCAAGCGCAGGTTATGCAGCACAACTGTGCAAACAACCAGTGATGGGAATTTGCTCTCGGGGCCCCGAGCATAAGGCGCAACCTCACTGGCTGCAGAACTTTTGCACAACTGGATATGAAGCAATGCCTTTTCTCAACTGTAAACCAGAGGCCAAGAATTACCAGAAATGTTACTATGCTCACATGACCAAACATTTGGCATGAACAGCTGCTGTTTTGTGGGTGAATGTCTGCCGTTGTTTTGTTACGTCCCACTGACCTCCTGAGCATTCACAAATCATGACTGAGTGAGCTGTGTCTGAGTGCCAGTTTTAGGAGAGCCATGTGACTGCAAAGATGGCTCTAGGGTGACACCTGGTGGCAGAAACTTGATAAGCAGCTGGGCTGCTGTCAGGGAAAACATCATACAACAGGACCACAGAAACAAGTGCTACAATAAATGAGAAGAAAAAAAAACAATTAGTGTGTTTTTTTAATAAAATTTTCCACACATAACTGCATTTTTAGTACATCAAAATACAAAAGTATATATAATTATATATATATTTATATAATAGATTTCTGCAAGAAATAACTAAGTTTGCAAATGAAACCTTGTCATCACCATAAGGACCAAAGCAAAGGACGGTGAAAACCAAGAAGGCCTCGGTGTACGGTCGCCATGGAGGTCACGTGCGGGGCTAGTGTGTGTCAAGTCCCTCTACGGCTCCCCCACACAGAAATTAAACGAGCAGGAGCCCCCAGGCGCAGGGAAAGATGCAGTGGGACCACAGTCCAGTGGGAAACAGCTGCATTCATTTGATAGGGAACAGTACCAGTGAGGCTCAGCACCCAGAACCCGCGTGGTGTCCGGGTGGCCTGGCCCTGTCCCCTCAGACACCCTACATTTCCACAGGCAGAGTTTATAACAAATAAAAACAAAGGAAGCTATTAGAACAGTAAGGGGGCAGGACTTATCCATGATTTGTTTGTTTGTTTTTTGGCACAGAAGGTTTTGGCTGTCACGTGTCTTCAAGTCTGTGGCCCATGGGGCCGGGTGGGCTGTGTCCTCCCCCCACCCCCCCCTCACTTGCAGAGGGCTTTCTTGATGCTCTCCACCTCCATCTGAAACACACACACAGCGAGGCAGCTGAGGCCGGTAGCTGACAATCACTTCCCACTTTAAAAAGTTAGCCACACTGGCATAATTGCACCTTGCTAATCTTTAAGGGGGCTGTGGTCTATGACTGCATCAATACTGCAATGAACTTATACATCACGATTCAGCCTGTCACAAGTTTTCATTGAAGGCCAAAATGTGAACTAGTTAAAGCTTCTTTTGATCTTACCAGTTAACTAGTGAGGCTCAAAATGTTTACCAGTAAAACTAGTAAAAGCATAAATTGAATCTATTGATTTTCCAACAAAAATCCCATCCAGTGAAAATGTAACCCCATAAAGCCTAATGAGGTTTTACTGATGTTCACTGCTAGCTCCTTGCTTACTATCCATGCAGAATAAAGCATGAAAATGCATTTGTGCAAGTAAAACATAAAAACAGCTCTGCTTCATTGCTTTTTCTTTCTTTCCGTTCAACTATGAGGCATCAAACTGGACAAAAGCTGAGAGGAACACAATAAAAACGTTGCAGATGATTGGATCTGCAAACTCAATACAGAAAGTCTGGGTCTCTAAATCAAGGTCTGTTCTTAGTCAAAGAAAGTAGGAGTCCTACATGCAGGACTGACATGCCCATTATTTTTAGGAGTTTCTCCTGAACAGGCAAGTTAGGAGCTGCTTTTAGCCTTAAGATGCTTTGTGACTACGGGCCCAGGTGCCCGTTAACTAGTGCTATAGATATCTGGGAATTTATTTACGTAGGATATAGTGAAGAGGTTAGTAGTGATGTGTAGCCTAATTTTCTGAAGTCCCGTTTCCTCCCATAAGAAAAGAATGTGCGATAAACGCGTATATCAAACAATAACTAATCAATAACATTCAAGGCCCATATTAACAAAGCATTTTATCTTACCACTTACAGTACTCCTAATTCACACTAAAAGTTTTTAAGTACAAATATTTTTTTCCTAAAACCTATTCACAAAGTAGCTGAGAGCAACTTTTAGTTAGGAAGAGAGCCAACTCCTTCGCTATGGCTGACGTCAGTTCTCATGCATGAGCTTGCCTGCAATAATCACTGGGACTGGTGGATAAGAGGCCAGCATGTGCTGTTGAAAATGTATGCCACAACATTCCATAAACACAAATACAGTGGAAATCACTTATGGTGATCATCGTTATAATGATTATTTTACACTTATATGGATCAACAAGCTTGGGACAGAATCATTGCTGTACAAGTACAGTTTAAATAATTCACTTATAATAATCAAGCAGTCTTACAGTGTTCATTTTTGGTCTTTTTAAGCATGACAACATATGGAAAAATGAAAACTATGGTTTTTTAAAAATGATTATTTACTTTGATAACCCTACTTTGCCTTGCGGTAACCCGTCTGCTTCTGGCTAGCTACCTGAAGATAACGCTATGTGCTCAGAATTGTATTGTTTCAGAGAAAGGCTATTTGCATAACCAATCGACAAAGAAAGTGCTTGCAAGTCCCACCCCAAAGTACCAAAGTAGCAAAAAAGTACCTCAGTTGGTTTGGAACTTTAGGTACTGGTACTTGACTGGAAGTTAATGGAAAAGGTAAAGTGCCAAAAGTACGGTACTTGGTGTGGTGGAAAAGGGCCCTGTGACTCTCTGGACACTTTTCCACGGCACCAGGTCCCGGTCTAGGCACAATAATACTGCTGTCTTGAAAAAAGTTACAAACTCATAAAAAGACAATAAACTAAGTAAAAAAAAAAAAGAAGTAATAAAAATGCATGGACAACGGAAGAGACCCAAGCTTTATTTGTGATCTGGGTGTGAGAACCGGAAGCAGATCTGGATGGCATGACAAGAAATAAAAAGCACAGTGCAAACGGCTTATAGTGATCACAGATATACTGATCAACCGCTTATATGGATCACCAAGCTCGGCACAGGATCATTCCTGTACAAATACTGTTTAAATATGTTGCTTATAGTAATCAAGTAGTTCGCTTACAGTGCTAATTTTGGGTCTTTTTAAACATGACAACATACAGAAAAAAAATCAAAACTACGCTGATTCTTTTTCTTTTCTTTTTTTTTTTAACTTCATTTGACCACCCACCTTTGTCTTGCGGTAACCTGGCTAGCTACCTGAGGCTGATGCTGCATGCATAGAAAACATGGTTTGTCATTTTCTCTCAATGACAAATATGGACTCATCAAAGTTTATTACAAACTGCCAAAACCAAGCCAACGAGATGCAGCCGCAAAACTACAATAAGGTATATTTTACGTACAGTACTGTATTAGTGTATTTGAATTATACAGTTCAGTAATTTGAAAAGTGTTTGAAACAGCTGTACTGTATTTAAAATCAATAAAATTCAGTGCATAGCGACGTTGTTCGTTTTATTACCTTATATCCATGTAATAAATATACAAATGTCAATTACAGTAGATGGTAATCTGCCTGAGACAAAGAAAAAGAAAAAAAGAAGAATGGTTATAATGATCACTGTAAGCAGTTTCCAATGCATATGATTCGGTTGTTTCTGTTTGCTGGAGATGTTACTGCATCTCTCACAAGCTCCACAACAATCATTATTCCCTCCTGACGGACGCAGTATCCTTTAAGTCAGAGGTCACTAACAGGCGGACTGCGGTCCGGATCCGGACCCAGAAGCTGTCCCATACGGACCCAGACTGATAGCCAAAACAGAAAGTTATTATTTTAAACCTGACAGGGCACTTCTATTTTAACCGGCGCAGCTTTTGTAGTCTTTTCGGTAGTGGTTTGGCACATTGGCGGTTCCGTTTCCCACGTCAATGAACGTCCAACGCCTTTGACCTCCAAGCAAGACGTAGTTCGGCGTATGCAGCCCCTCGTTTGCGCTAATGTGCAACACCCGCAACCAAAAAGCGTAATGTTCCTAACAGAGTGGCTGGTCTGTCCTGAAATTGTAAAGCTGAAAAGTTTTCAAACACAGTGTGTAGGCCTATTATATAACATGTTGGATAAATAGACATAGGTTATTGGTGACTTCATGTTCGTTGAAGTTTCAGCTTTTTAAACAACTGTATAAACTAAAAGTAATGTTATTTGTTATATAAATCAACTCAGGTGAAACAAAAAATGTATGTTTTCAGGGTTGCCAAATCTCAAGCATCTGGCATGACACTCACACTTTCAGACTAACGCAGCAAATCAATATTATTCCATTATAAATGTCATGAGGCATGGAACGGGGACCCTTAACTTTACTGTTTCAAAAATCCTTATCTGAAGGTGTGGTACCTTCTGATTGAAAGCATGCCAAC